AAGGAGAGCCACCAGACTGGTGCCTGCACTTCGGCACCTCAGCTATCCAGAGAGATTAGAGCGCTTGTAACTGCCTATCTTATACTATAGACGGGCAAGGGGTGATCTAATTGAGGTGTATAAACATCTCAAAGGGCACTTTATCGGAGTGAGAATTATGAACTCTTGGAACAACCTGTCAGAGAGTGCTGTGACGGGGCACCGAGTGTGAGCTGTTTCAAAACCAGATTTGACCAACACTGGAGCGGGTTCAGATACATCCAGGAGCCAGTGCGTGCCCAGTACTTGCCAACAGTGTGTAACAGAGACGTGACCGACGGCCCAATCGGCTAAGGAGCCGACCAATGGCGAAGAGGATAAAGTAAAGTATTGGTACTTGTCTCTTGCAGGACATGCTATGACTTGTGGTATGGAGACAATATTGATATGATTTAAGGACAATGGGAGTTAGCACCCACCAAAGCGTTGGTAGTGTACAAGAATAAAATCTAAATTATTATGAATAAGTAGGTGGTGACATACAGTGGTTAGTGACTCTCCGTATGGTAGGAGGTCCCTGACAGTGGGACAGTCAAGGCAATAGTGTTGAAGGGTGTTAGCGTTGGGACAATTACAGAGTTTACAGGAAGAGAAGTGCGGGTCATCCCCTGCCTCAGATACTTGTCAGATAGGTATGTATCCTAACCTAATGTGAGCAGAGACAACATTATGTCTGCAGACCATAAGTCCACGTCGAAGATACTTGTGTGGATATGGAAGAAAGTGATCACAGTGTTGGATGGATATATTATCAGTCTGTTCACTATCCCTACTATGGATTGTAGGGCTCAACGTAAACTCTTTCCGTAGCTCATGTTGGGCTTATATTTAGGCCTAAAAGTTATTGATTAATCTCAATAGAAAGATTTGCAGATAAACATGTGTCTTATTTTTTCTTTAGTTAACTAGATTTTGTTTATGATTTGCTCTTGATTTACTTTAACATTTGAGACAATTAATAAGTTTGTTGTTACCTTTATTTTCAGTACTTGAGAACTTTATGAATGATCATTTTTTACTTCTACTTTAGTACACTGAACTTTGGATAATTTTGCTTCTACTTGAGTAACATTTTGCTAGTGTAACAAAGTCCGGTACGTTTTACAACTCTGCATGTTTCCTTGTCTCGCCCATCCATTTGTACTCGTACATCTGTTTACATGTGAGCATCGAAATACATTATCATGTGAGCTCAATATGTTCAACCTTGCCATTGGTGGGGATTAACCTGTCCTTGCCTGACGTCCCCCGGTGAAATGAACACATAAGTCAAGAAATCAGAGATCAAGGGATTACAGTAGTTAGTGAACTGAGTGAACACTAAGGTTAAGTATGGTGTAGGTCACTCAAAGTGATGATATTGTGTCTCTGTCTGGGGATGTCACCAATAAGAGGAACATTATTATCATATCTTTATACCTTTCTTTATCAGTACACCTCGAGGCTCGACCTACAGTTGCTTCGATTTATAACGGATACAGAGGCTGGCGATTTTTGTGAGATGTGGCACCACTGTTTTTTTACATCATAGTAAAACTAGGAAATTGTTTAGAACTACCCTCGCTCGAGTAACCAGACCAAGGTGAGTGCGTGCGTGCCTTACCAAGTAGAATGTCATTGGCTCCTATCTGTTGTTTGGTGGGCGGTAGTGAAACATCTCATAAAACAAACCAGCCACTGTACCCGTTATACTTTTTACTTTTTTTACTTTTATCCTCTTCGCCACTAATCGGCTTGTTAGCCGCTTGGGCGATCGGTCACGTCTCTGATTACTTTTCTTTTTCATTTATCTTCTTCACCAAAAGATCGGCTCGCTAGCAGCCCGGGCGATCGGCCACGTCTCTGTCACCCACTGTTGGCAAATACTGGGCATGCACCGGCTCCTGAATGTACCTGAACCCGCTCCAGTGTTGGTCAAGTCTTGTCTTGAAAGAGCTCACACTCGGTGCCGTCACAACACTCTCTGGTAGATTGTTCCAAGAGTTTACAACCCTCACTCCGAAAAAGTTTGCCCTCACGGTTTTCTGGACTTGCGGCGTCTTCAATCTTGAGCTGTGACTCCTTGTGGGGCGAGCGTCCGCCAGCTCCAAGTGAGAACACTCAACTGAGTAATGCCCCCTGAGATGCTTATACACCTCGACTAGGTCCCCCCTTGCCCGTCTGTAGTATAAGCTAGGCAAGTTCAGGCGCTCCAATCTCTCAGGGTAGCTGAGGTGCCGAAGTGCAGGCACCAGTCTGGTGGCCCTCCTTTGAACATTTTCAATCAATTGACAGTCCCTAGCATATCTCGGGGACCAGATGGGGTGACAGTACTCCACATGGGGAAGCACTTCACTCCTGAAGATCGCTACGAGGGACGGACCGTCTAGATATCTGAACGACCTTCTTATAAGACCCAATAATTTATTTGCCTGATTTACCTTCTTCTCGCAATGGCCCGAGAACTTCAGCTCATTGTCAACATACACACCTAGGTCCTTCTCACACACAGTCTCAACTAGTACTGTTGGTACGCCCCAGGTGCATCCTCTTACACTTCGTGACATTGAATCTCAGCAGCCATTTCTTCGACCATTCCTGGAGCCCACAGAGGTCCTTCTGCAGTTCTTCACAGTCCGCTTGGTTCTTAATTTCCCGAAATAACTTGGCGTCATTGGCAAACATTTGTATGGAGGAGTGTACAACGTCAGGCATGTCATTTATGAAACAAACAAACAACAGCGGGTCCAATACACTGCCCTGTGGTACCCCACTTGTGACAGGTACAGATGACGATTTCGTGCCATTAATCACCACACACTGCTTGCGGTCATGAAGAAAGTCTTCTCTCCACGCTAGGACATTTCCCCGAATTCCGTACCCTTCCAGTTTGATTTTCAGTCTTTCGTGGGGTACACTGTCGAAAGCCTTGGCAAAATCTAGGTAAATATTGTCGATATTACAACCCCGTTCCAGAATATGGGTCCAAATATCCAATACCTTGAGCAATTGTGTTAAGCAGGAGCGCCCTGGCATAAAACCGTGTTGGCAATCTTTTACAAGGTTGTTTCGTATTAGATGTTCCATTGCGGCATCTCTGATAATACTCTCAAGTACTTTACATATTATGCTGGTCAGGCTCACCGGTCTATAGTTGTTCGTGGAGTGACGATCGCCCTTCTTGAAGATAGGACTCACATAAGCCACTTTCCATTCACTGGGGACCATTTGTTCATCCAGGCATTTACAAAACAGGATCTTCAGGGGCTTGGCAAGCGCGTTGCACAACTCTCTTAGCACTCTAGGATGCACCATGTCAGGGCCGGGACTCTTATGGACGTTTAGCCTGGACAGTTTATTTCTAATACCCTCTTCTGTGAACACAATGTGGGTCAGTGCTGTGGCTAACCGTCTGTCCTCAAACGCAGGAAGGTTAGTTGCATCCTCTCTTGTGAACACCGAGAAAAAGAAGCTGTTCAATGCCTCAGCTTTATCCTGGTCAGAATCTGCGTAACTACCATCCACCAGCCTCAGGTCTGATACTCCTACTCGCGTTTTCAATTTCGACTTTGCAAAGCGATAAAACGCCTTTGGGTTTGACTTGACCTCGCTTGCAACCAGCCTCTGGAACTCCTTTTCAGCCCTTCTATACTCTATATTTGCTTGGTTTCTGGCTCTTGCATACATTCTCCTGTCTTGCTCATCGATTGACCCAACCCACGTCTTGAATTTCTGGGTTTTCTTCTTAATTTTGTCGACCGCCGCATGGTTCACGTGTAGGGATCCCCTCGTATTCCTAGAAGCACTGGGTTTGGTCTTGGGTATATATTTATCGATCAAATGGGTCATTTTACTAGTTATGATATTCAGCGTAGTGTCTGCGTTCTTGTACCTTAATAAGTCAGGCCAGTTGATACCCCTCATCTCTTCCCTCATCCCATTGTAATTTCCCTTGTAATATTTGTACCTTGGCCTGGCCTTATCCTGAACTAGGTAACAGTTAAATCTGAATGACAACACGATATGGTGACTGCTGCCAACTGGGGCAAGGTGTTCCAGTTTGGCCACCATACCTTCCTCGTTTGTTATGATGAGGTCAAGTGGCTTGGGTGTTTGCTCCCCTCTGTAATGTGTCGGGTCTCTAACATGTTGGAACAGAAAATTATCTCTCAGAGTTTCTACAAAAAGAGTAGCAGGGTTATTCAAGTCATTCGGGGTGGACTCGTTTCTCCAGTCGATGTCGCCATAGTTAAAGTCCCCCATGATAAGGAGGGGGCTAGGGTTGAGCATCGCCGCGTTGTTTATTAAGGATCTTAAGTTCCTTTGATTTAGTGGGCCACAGTTTGGGGATCTGTAGATACCCCCGACGATAAGTAAGTCCCCTCCCTTTAATTTAATTTTGCACCACTTGGACTCTTCAAAAACATCCCCTCCCTGTACCCTCGCCTGGCTGGCTCGAAGCTCTTGCCTAGCGTAGATAACCACACCCCCTCTTGCAAGTTTCTTGAGAAAGGTTCGTAAATGAGTCATATCCAGCAGTACTGAACTCACATTCCTTTGGGTCGATTCTCCTGTTCTTGTACAACAGTTCTACAACACCTACAATATCTGGTTGGTGTACTCTCAGTAGTGTTTCAAACTCCTCTCTCTTATGAAGGAACGTGTCAGTATTAGTGTACATGACATTCAAGCCAGAATTTGTTCTCGGTAACGTCTCTGCTCTTAGTAATAACCCCGCTCCCTCCCCTATTCTCAGAAGCTGCAGCATTTGCTAAGTACACTGTATTTTGCAGGGTGTGGTTAGAAATGTCACTGTTCACACGGCGCTCGCCTCCTCCTGTCCGGTAGGCTGAGCTGGCGCCGCCTCCCGGGTGGGGGGTTGAGTGGGTGCCAACTGTACAGAACTTCAACCTACCCCACATACAGTACACCCACATACACCTACCTGCACCACGTACAACACTTACACCACACACACTTACCTGCATGAAAATAAATTCCCACTTTCTGCTAAACATCTTCTGTAGTCGGGCCAAATTCTCCGCCTCGTAGTCTGCCAGCTCCAACCTCGCTTTGTTTTGCATCGTCCGCTTACACAAGTACACAGCTGTAGGGGGAGAAACAGATGTTACATGCTATTTGCTGTGGGAGTTACCTGGGACCACCTGATGACTAGCCAGCATAATGCTACCTGGGATTGTTAGGTTAATTCAGTGTTAGGGCAATTAATCTTCAGGTAAAATAAGCTGGGGGGAATCTTCTGGTGACCCCGTACCTGTATCTTTCAATTCTGAAGACTTAAGGTGAACCATTGTTGAGATACTGCCTAAAAAAATACAAATATAAGTCACCAAACGTTCACTAGGGGATGACATCAAAACAGACATCATAATAACGCGCAGTATGACAGGAAAAGTGTGTTCCAATTTTGAAAGAAATCAGGCATGGAATTGTAGAGATATTCGGACACAAACTGGAAGAAATTACGTCATTAGTTCCTGAACCATTCGCCAGAGGGACGGGTAGTACCCTTTGGTATTGAACAGCACATCACTCGCCTTCCAATCCACCCTCACTCCCTTCAATCACACTCTCCACTCTCTCCCCCCACCATTACACTCCACTCTCTCCCCCCACCATTACTCTCCACTCTCTCCCCCCACCATTACTCTCCACTCTCTCCCCCCACCATTACTCTCCACTCTCTCCCTCCACAGCTCCTCTCCTTCCTCTCCACACTCTCTCTTTTAATTTATTATTACTTTTACCTTTATCCTCTTCGCCACTGATCCGCTCGTTAGTTGCTTGGGCAGTCGGTCACGTCTCTGATACGAACTGTTGACAAGTACTGGGCATGCACTGGCTCCTGAATGTACCTGAACCTGCTCCAGTGCTGGTCAAGTCTTGTCTTGAAAGACCTCACACTTGGTGCCGTCACAACACCCTCTGGTAGATTGTTCCAAGAGTCCACATCTCTCACTCCGAAAAAGTTTGCCCTCACAGTTTTCTGGACTTGCGGCTTCTTCAATCTTGACCTGTGCGTCCTGTGACCCCTTGTGGGGCGGGCGTTCGCCCGCTCCAGGTATGGACACTCGACTGAGTAGTGCCCTTTGAGATGTTTATCGCCTCAATCAGGTCACCCCTTGCCCGTCTGCACTATACAGTAAGCAAGGCAGTTGCAGGCGCTCTAATCTCTCTGGATAACTGAGGTGCCGAAGTGCAGGTACTCTCCAAGAAGTTCTTTCCTCCCCTCCACACACACTAACTCCTCTTTCTTCCCCTCCACCACACTCTTTCTTCCTTTCCATCACACTTCCTCCTTGTCCCCACTCCCTCCCCAAAACACTCTCCCCCTCAAACCAAGTTGCCTCCAGTATGCCCTCGACCCCACACAAGTCTCCACAATTCACAACCTCACCAACCCTCAACCCTTCTGCAACTCTCTTCATCACACACACACACACACATTCCACAGTCCTTTCCACCCTCCACCAGTCACTATAACCCTCTCCAATAATCACATTTTCAACACTCCAAACCCTCGCCGTCTTCCACACTCCAAACCCTCCTTCCTCCACACACTCTAACCCCCCCCTCTCCACACTCCAAACCCTCCTCCTTCCTTCCACAATACAACCCTCCTTCTTACACTCCAAACTCTCCCTCCCTCCACACTCCAAACCTTCCCTCCCTGCACACTCCAAGCCTTCCCTCCCTCCAAACTCCAAACCTTCCCTCCCTCCACACTCCAAACCTTCCCTCCCTCACTCCCTCCCTCTACACTCCAAACCCACCCTCCACGCCCCTAAGACCTCCACATTACCTCCACCCTCCACCTCAATCTAAATGCGGCACGGTAAAGGCCACTGAGTCACACGCCACCATTCACCGCAACAATGGAAACAATTTGAGAGTCACTCAACCACAGAGGCCGGAAAGAATATTGTGATGGAGGGAAGAATATGTGGTTGTTGGGGGACAATAGTGTGGTTGTTAGAGGGAAGAAAGTGTGGTTTTTGGATGAGAATAAAGTGTGGTTCTTGGAGAGAAGAAAGTGTGGTTGGTGGGGAGAAGAAAGTGTGGTTGTTGGAGGAAAGAAAGTGTTTTTGTTGGAGGGAAGAAAATGTTTTTGTTGGAGGGAAGAAAGTGTGGTTATTGGAGGAAAGAAAGTGTGATTGTTGGAGGGAAGAAAGTGTTTTTGTTGGAGAGAAGAAAGTGTGGTTGTTGGAGAGAAGAAAGTGTGGTTATTGGAGGAAAGAAAGTGTGGTTGTTGGAGAGAAGAAAGTGTGGTTGTTAGAGGGAAGAAAGTGTGGTTGTTAGAGGAGAGTAAAGTGTGGTTGTTGGAGGAGAGTAAAGTGTGGTTGTTAGAGGAGAGTAAAGTGTGGTTGATGGAGGAAAGTAAAGTGTAGCCGTTGGAGGGGGAGAAAGTGTGGTTGTTGAAGAAGAAAATTGTTGTGGTGGAGGAAGTTAATTCTAGTTATTGTGGTGGAGGGAAGAGATTGTGGTTATTGGTGGAGACAACACAATTAATTCAACAACAAATAACAATAACAATTGCAATCATTAACTGGAAATCTAACTTTGTTGCTAACACCAAATTATTACTCATATCGTGTCAGTTCAGTGATCAATGTTGGCATGACACCAGTTTTTTAGCCTTCAGTCGAACTACTTATGTCATCTTTAAACACACACACACACACACACACACACACACACACACACACACACACACACACACACACTAGAAACAATAATGTGCATCTTTGAATCCATGACATGACTGGGCAACCGCAATCAGTAAGGTCATCCTTATGCGGTCGAAAACACAATCATAATCACAGATCAAAATAAAAACAAACTATACAACCTCCTATGGTCGCTGCATGGAATGTCAGGACCCCACTGGATACTGGCACAAATGAGAGTCCTGAAAGAAGAACTGCCCTTGTGGCAAAAGAGCTGGCTAAGTATAACATCGACATTGCAGCCATTAGTAAGTCCAGGCTCCCCCAGACGAGGGTCGACTCACAGAACGGGGGTCTGGCTATACCTTCTTCTGGAAGGGTAAGCCTGCTGCAGAGAAAAAATGCATTAATGGAGTTGGCTTTGCCATCCGCCAATGCATCCTACATAGGCCAACTGAAATGCCTATTGGGATCAACGAGCACCTCATGACACTCAAGAGTCCCACTGAATCACTCACGTCACGCCTTTTTCATCAGTGCATACACCCCAACACTGGATGTAGAAGATGACATCAAGAAGGCCTTTTACCTTGACACTGTGCTAACCTCTATCCCCAGAGAAGATAAGGTTGTGCTCCTAGGTGACTTCAATGCCATAGTTGGCAGAGAAGCTGACATTTGGCAGGGAATCAAAGGGAGAAATGGACTAGGCAAGTGTAATCCCAATGGCCTACTCCTCCTCAGCAAGTGTGCTGCACACAACATCACTTTCACCAATACCTTGTTTAGGCAGGCTGACACTGGTATCTCATTGATTACATCATTGTCAAAGAAAAAAATCGCCGAGATGTCCTCATCACCCGAACCATGCATGGCTCAGACCACTGCGACACTGATCATCGGCTTGTCAGAGCCAAACTCTCACGTCACGTCGTCCCAAAACGGCGAAGGCAACAAGCCTCCGAAGAGGTTTTAACACTAAGCTTCTGGAGGATCCAGCGGTAGCACTTGCTTTCAGAGAGCAGCTCGAACATGAGCCAATAAACAACCCGACAACAAACAACCCAAATCCCAGTGCCGAACGGGGTATTCTTGACACAGTCATGACAAAAACATGCAGAGACCCTCGGCCAGATCGAAAGAATAAACCAGGACTAGTTTGATGAAAATGACACGGAAATCAATGTACTTGTCGATGATAAACGTGCTGCTTTAACTGACTGGCAGAATAACCCTCAGCCTCGGACCAAACCCCATACCTTCTGCAAGAAGAAATTGGTGGCCCAGCATGAACTTCGCAATCTAAAGAACGAATGGTTGAAAAATATAGCATGTGAAGCACAAAAACTTGAAGATTAATACAAGATGCGCGAATTTTTCAATTCCACTAAAACATTTTATGAGCCAATCACTCATGGCGCAGCCCCCCTCTACTCATCCGATGGTAAGCGGTAAAAGGAAGAAGGTCGTAACAATACAATAATGATGTCCAAACTGTTCTCAAAATTACTCAGACTCTACTTTAACTACAGTACACATAACACAAGAACACAAGAATGAAGGAAATTGCAGCATGCCTATTGACCCATACTGGGCACTGGGCAGTCCAGTTTATACCCAACCCCTATTGCTCATATAAGCATCCAACCTATGTTTGAAGCTATCCAGCTATCTAGTGTTTACCTATTTCACGGCGAAATCTAAATTTGTTTAATTTAAAACCATTATCACGAGTTTGTTCCTGGTTGGATAGTTTAAGTACCTTTGTAATGTCCTCTTTGTTTAACCCTGACTTCCACTTATACACCTCTATCATGTCGCCCCTCACTCTATGTCTCTCGAGGGAGTGCAGATTAAGATGCTTTAACCTGTCTCTGTATTCAAGGTTCCTAATGCCCGGGATTAGTCTTGTCATTCTCCTCTGGATTCTTTCGAAGGATTCTATATCCATTCTGTAATACGGTGACCAGAACTGAACTGCGTAATCCAGGTGAGGTCTCACAAGCGCTAGTTATAATTTTAAGATGACCTCGATAGTCTTGTAACTAACATTCCTTTGTATGAACCCAAGTACTTTATTAGCCTTGTTACGAGCAAAAACACATTGTTTACTTGGCTTAAGATTCCTACTTATCATTACTCCCAAATCTCTCTCGCAGTCGGATTCCACAATGGCATCGTTGTTCATCTGGTAACTGGTTTCCCTGTTTACATCTCCTATACTGAGTACTTTACATTTGTCCACATTGAATTTCATCTGCCATTTTTCCGACCATTCGAAAATTTTTTTTAGATCTTCCTGTAGTTTTGCAGAGTCCTCGTCAGATTTAATTACACGTCCTATTTTAGTGTCATTGGCTAAAGTCGAGATATACCACATCATAATTGTGCCCCTCGTCCACTGATTCGAAAACTGATGAAAAGA